TAACTTTCTTGGAGCATCTATCACCACTAAGGACTGAACTGCTGACAGAATAGTCATGCTAAAAGTATTTTTCTAATTTCCTTTCTTAATTAGCTGTTACTATCAGTGGTTGAGGCCTCTATGTTCTATTGTAATAAAAATAATAATTTGTAAATCCTCTAACATTAACAATACAACCTGTACCACATAGCTTGTGCTGAAAGACAAATTTAATCACTTCAAAAATGTCTGAGATATTAAAACGTTGGAGATTTGGGAAATATCAGCTTCTAGACTCTAAGAAAAAAGATTTATACTCCTCCTTTGGACTTGTGATTTCTAAACTTTTTAAATATATGTAAAGGACTGAAGGAGCAAGTTTATTAGCTGATGAAAATTCCAGACCATGAGATTAAGGGGTGGTAACCCCATGAATTGAAACTTGTTGGCCTCACTGAAATCTTTCAGATCAATATGGCAAAAAACAACCGTTTTTTTCTTTACTAGTTTTTTTAAAATAATTTTAATCCATTTGAAACTAATTTTAGAAGTAACAAAGGCCCCAGGATTCTTAGGAATCTTAATTTGCTAAGGTTTGCTAAATCCATTCTTTCAAATTTAGCCAAATTGGTGTCCAAAGTTTGTGAAGTTGCACTGTACCAAAGCAAAATTTCTGCAAAACTTCATGCATGTATTACTAGATGACTTTTTCAGTGTCTTGTTTCTATTTTGCCACAAGAGGGTGACTTCTGTTATTACAGCACTGAGAGTCTGGTTTATCCATTTGATTTGATTTTCCTATAATAGGTTTTGTCTGTTGCTGATGAGAAATAAAATCAGAAAAAGAAAAGACCATCTTGGCCTAGGCCTGCTATTTCTCACCTTTTATTGTGTTTTATCTAAGGTCTAGTTTACCATTTTTTCCCACCATTCACTTCACTCTCAAAACCTAAGAATGTGTTTACACAAGGAAATTCTAGAAAAACTGATGAAGGGGCGTTAGGCCTAAGAAACCTAGTTAGTTAGCAGGTTTAACTAATAAAATGATAAATATGCCAGAGCTGCTGTAACACTGGCTACAATAGAGACCCCACTAGATTTCTGTTCATCTGAATGTGTGGCAGAAGTGGGAATACCCTAATGTAACTGAGGCTCAAGTATTTATTGAATATATTTATATTCTGTGCTTAAATTTCTGACCTTCTCCAATAACTGATTTATTACCCTTTGTATGAAACTGTGCTTCCCCTTTATTCTTACGTTAGATAACTGCCAAATGCTTGAAACCATCACTAGTGTGACACGTTTCTCTCCCAAGTTTATTCTACCTCTTCTTGACAATCTGTTTTCACCTTAAAAATACAGCCCAATGGAAATCACCTCGACCTCTCTTATTTTATATCCTTGAGACCTGTTACTGTTTTGTTGCCTTTATGCTATAGCCTCTCTCCACTAATATCCTTCCTATTGTGCCATGACCAATGCAAAAAACAATGTTCCAGATGGAGGGAGAGTCTAATAAATACCTTATATAGTAACACTACTGATGCTTTGATAAATGTTTTGGTCTAGGTTTTGGCCTACTGTACTTTATTTACACAGTTCAGCATGTGGCTTTCAGTAAAGTCCTGCTTTTTTTATGTAGTTTTTAATCTGAGATAAGTAAGACTATGTGTACACTACGGCCTACGTTGGTATAACTTATGTCACTCAGGAGTGTGAATAACCCATCCCCTCTGAGCGCCATAAGTTACACAGATATAAGTGCTCATGTTCTGCCATTTGCACAGGTGGGTTTTTTATGCCAACGGGAGAGCTCTCGCGTCGGCATAGAGCGTCTTCACCAGACGTGCTGCTGGTTAAGTGTTTTAACTGACGTCATAGGGGATTTAATAGGGAAATAAAAGCCCCAAGATCCCTCTAGTTTCTATTCCTTTCTTCATACTAGCACAGCACACAACCTCCTTGAAAGAGAGACCAGTAAATGGGATATGGGATTTCAACTTTGACAGGCAGATGCACCAAACCATGCAACTGAGAGACTTATTAGGCCTAATAAACAAAGCATTTTGGAGCCATAAATTATTGGGACTAATCAGTCAGTTGACACACTGATAACTTGTTCATATCTGATCCTTATGCTTACCAGAGTTGTACTGGAATTTGGCTCCTTGTGTCTTTCAAGAAGACTTTTCTTTGCTTCATAATAGAAATTCCATAATAAAAATCATTGTTAGAGACTAGAAGTTATTAAAAGTTTACAGCGGGGGTAGGGAACCTATGGCATGCGTGCCAAAGGCAGCACACGAGCTGATTTTCAGTGGCACTCACACTGCCCAGGTCCTAGCCACCAGTCCGGGGGGCTCTGCATCTTAATTTAATTTTAAATGAAGCTTCTTAAACATTTTAAAAACCTTATTTACTTTACATACAATAGTTTACTTATATATTATAGACTTATAGAAAGAGACCTTCTAAAAACGTTAAAATGTATTACTGGCACGCGAAACCTTAAATTACAGTGAATAAATGAAGACTCGGCATACCACTTCTGAAAGGCTGCCGACCCCTGGTTTACAGTGTAGTGTTGCAGAAGATTTGTCAGTTCAGCAAAAAAGGCAAGGATGGTAGAGAAAGCAATTAAAATGTTTCTATTAGATTTGGTTAAAAAATTACAAAAATTCTTAACGAAAATTTTCTCAAAAATGTGTCCCATTTTTCAATTACTTCCAGCTTCACTAAGAGGGAGGTGATAGGTAACTTTGAAAATATACAGACTGATGTACCATAAAAACTAGAATGACCTGACACTTCCTGTTGCAGGTGGCATCTATCAAATGAGACATAGTGCCAAAAGTTCTGATAATCTGTATTTACCATATTTCCATAATACTTTACACAAGAATGGGAATGTTAAGAACAGTGTCTAGGCTAAATGCCATCTTGGGTCATTATATTTTGCCTACCTAAAATCCTCCCTGCATTTGCAATAAGATACAGTATCCCTGCTAACTTACTGTCCTAAATTGTTTTATTATTCATGTGCTGTGAAGCAGCTGTCATTCCATTTCACAAGTGATTCCATTTCAGTTGGTCCTGAGGGCATGTACATGTGAAATTGTGTATTATGGGGGAAAGTGGAAGACATGGCAAGGTGGGATCTTGAGCTACAAGGTTCAGAATTTGAAAGGATATAGGGTGAAGCAGAATGCAGTGGCGTCCCAGAGATGTATATGGGGATCAAAGGGAGTGTGCATGGGGTGAAACAAGTTTATCTGCTGCTGGATCTTGGTGGAGCCAAGCATAAGGTGTAGATTTTATGGATGTAATAGCACTGGCTATGTTTATCTATGTACAAAATTCAGCTGCATCTGGCTTTTTACCCTTTTCTATGGAAGACCTAGGGAAAGATAAAAATTTATAAGAGTAAAGGTCAATAGATTCCTGCTGTGAGGGAGTGTATTGTGTATGGAGGTTTGGAATACAGAAAGGGTGCAATGATGTGACAGCTGCATTGAATAGTTGGGAATAAAATTGGGGTGACTGGCTGTGTGCAAGGAGGGAGTCCCAAGTGTGCAGTAGGTAGTGGGATGTAGTAGGCTCCCAGGGAGAAGAGGTTCCAAGTGGGAAGCCTGGTAGCAGCGGCATTCAGTGAGACTGGGGTAGCAAAGTAGAGATCCTGACACCATGGGCTGGTGCTCAACAATGGAGCCCCAGGGTCAGTGGGTGTGGGGGGAGGAGGTGCACTGTGCAGGGGCCTACAATACAATCCCAGGCTCAGTAGGTGAATGAAGGAGTGTACTGGGAGGAGAGGGGGGGCAGGATACAATGATGTCACAAGCTCAATCACTGTGTGGGGGGAGAGGGTGCACTGAGGGGCAGGGCACGGTACAGTGGAGTCTCAGGCTCAGGGTGAGCAAGATGGAAATTGGGGTCCCAGGCTCTGTGGTGGGTGTGGGAGGGGGGTCTACTGGGAGTAGAGGGGGTGCAGTGGGGTGCTCGGCTTGGTGTGCGGGAGGAGCAGGCGTCTACTGGGTGCAGTGGGGTTGGGTGCTACAGTGGGATCCCAGGCTCAGTGGGGGTGGAAGTAAAGGGGGCATGGGGTGTGGGGAGCAGTGGGGTCCCAGGGTCAGAGGGGATGGTCTTGAGGGGTACCCAGAGAGCAGTGGAGTCCCAGTCTGGGGGTTGAGTGGGGAACAGTGGGGTATGGATGGCCCAGGGGTGAGGGTGCAGAGTGTACCAGGCTCAGAGGGAACCGGGGGTACAGAGGGCAGAGATGTACAGGGGCAGCTTCACGGGGGCATGGGGGTGAGGCAGAGGAGGGGCATCCTAGGGTGGGAGGAGTGAGCTGAGGGTGCATGGGGGAGGCTGAGATGTGCGGGGCAGAGAGTTATGGGAGTCGGGGTGCACGGGGAGTAGGGGTGCCTCAGACTGGGAGGGAGTGAGGTTGGGTTCAAGGATGCATAGAGGTCAGAGTGCACGGGGGACCCGAAGCAGTGGTGCCCCAGGCTCGGGCTGTGGGTGGAGGATGGGTGGGCTGAGGGATGCGAGGGGGTTGGAGAGCAGTAGGGAACGGGGTGCATGGGGGGCGCGGAGTAGTGGTGCCCCAGGCTCCAGTGGGGGAGGGGACGAGCTGAGAGGGGGTGCATGGGGGTCGCGGAGAGCACAGGGGTCGCTGAGGAGCAACGGGGGGAGCAATGGGGGGCGGGGAGCACGGGGGAGGGGAGCGTGGGGGTCGCTGAGGAGCAATGGGGGGTAGGTGCACGGGGGGGAGGAGCAGTGGGGGTCGGGGACCAGTGGTGCCCCAGGCTCAGGGTGTGTGAGGGGAGGCTGAGGGGTGGGTGAGAGGGGCGCGGAGCACTAGTGTCCTAGGCTCGGGGAGGTGAACCGTGGTGCCTGGCTCTGGTCCCCTCTCTGAGTCCCGCGGACTCTCCTAGCCGCCGCAGCGGGCTGCCCCTCCCTGCTGGCCCGCCCGCCCCTTGCCCGGCTCCCTCCCCCTGCGGGCTCGCCGGCCAGACGGGATGTCTCTCTCTGGCTGCAAGATGGCGGCAGCAGCGGAGCCGGGCACGGAGCTGTCCGGGGCTCAGCGGGAGCCGGTGCTGGGGGCACAGCCGGAGCTCGGCGGGAGCGCGGCGCCCCTCCGCCCGCCCGAGATCGCCATGCGGCTGGAGAGCGCCCGCCGGGAGCTGAGCAACAGGCGCAAGGTCCTGCTGAGAAACCTGCCCGAGGAGAGCAGCAGCCAGGTACCGCGGCGCCCCCGCTCCGGGAGAGGAGCCAGCCGGGCTGGGGGGACCCCAGAGCCTGCACAGGGCAGGCAGGAGACGGCCACCATTCCCGTGCCCGCCCAAAGGGGAGACCTGGAGAGCGGATCCTCGACATCGCCCGGCCCCTCGGGGTCCCGGTTCGAGCCCCGCCCCACAGCGCCCCTCGGGGTCCCACTCCGAGCCCCCCCCACCACAACACCCCATGGGGGTCCTGTTCCTAGGTCCCCCCATACACAGCGTCCCTCGGGGTCCCGCTCCGAGCACCCCCCCGCACACAACACCCCATGGGGGTCCCGCTCCGCGCACCCCCCCCCCACAGCGCCCCATGGGAGTCCCGCTCCAAGCCCGCCCCACAGCACCCCATGGGGGTCCTGCTCCGAGCTCTCCCCCACTACAACACCCCATGGGGGTCCCACTCTGAGCTCTTCCCCCCTCCCCCCAGCACCTCATGGGGGGGTCCCGCTCTGAGCCCCTCCCGCACACAACCGCCCATGGGGGTCTCGCTCTGAGCTCCCCCGCGCACACAGCATCCCGTGGGATCCCCCTCCACCCGCGCACACAGAGTCCCACGGGGTCCCGCTCCGAGTCCTCCCTCCGCCCCCATGCGCAGCTCCCCACAGGATCCTGCCAAGCCCCCTTTCCCCCTAGCATATGGCATCCCACAGGATAAGAACATACGAATGGCTATGCTCAGTCAGACCAATGGTTTATCTAACCCAGTACTATCCTGTTTTCTGACATGGCTGGTGACAGAATAGGGCAGCAATTTATCGAGTGATCCATCCCATCATCCAGTCCCAGCTTCTGGCAGTCAGAGGTTTAGGAGCACCTAGAGCAGCGGTTCTCTAACTGTGGGTTGGGACCCCAAAGTGGGTTGTGATCCTGTTTTAATGGGATCACCAGGGCTGGCCTTAGACTTGCTGGGGCCTGGGCCTAAAGCTGAAGCCCCAGGGCTTCAAGCCCTGGGTGGCAGGGCTCAGGCTTCAGCTTTGGCCCTGGGGTGGCAGGGCTCAGGTTACAGGCCCCAGCCCAGGGCTGAAGCCCTTGTGCTTTGGCTTTGCCCCCCGCCATACACATGGGGCAGCAGGGCTCAGGCTTCGGTCCCCACTCCTGGGGTCATGTAGTAATTTTTGTTGTCAGAAGGGGGTTGCAGTGCAATGAAGTTTGAGGATCTCTGACCTAGAGCATGGGGTTATGTCCCTGACCATCTTGGTTAATAGCCATCGATTTTCTTCCAAGAATTTACATAATTCTTTTTTCAACCCAGTTATGCTTTTGACCTTCACAACATTCTCTGGGAGTTCCACAGGTAGACTGGGCATTGTGTGAAAAAGTTCTTTTTTATGTTTGTTTTAAACCTGGTGCCTATTAATTTCATTCCTGTTTCATGTGTTATGTGAAGGGGTAAATAATGCTTCCCTATTCACTTGCTCCATTCTTGTTTTTATAGACTTCTGTATCCCCCTTAGTAGTCTCTTTTCTAAGACGAACGTTCCCAGTCTTTTTAATCTTTCCTTGTGTGGAAGCTGTTCTATACTCCCAAACATTTTTGTTGCCCTTCTCTGTATTTTTTCCAATTCTAATATATCTTTTTTGAGATGGAGCGACTATAACTGCAAGCAGTATTCAAGGTATGGGCATACCATGGATTTATATAGTGGCATGATGATATTTTCTGTCTTGCTATCTATCCCTTTCCTGATGGTTCCTAATATTGTTAACTTTTTTGACTGCTACTGCACATTGAGGAGATGTTTTCAGAGACCTATCCACAAAGACAACAAGATCTCTTTCTTGAGGGGAAACGGGTAATTTAGGCCCCATCATTTTGTATGTATAGTTGAGATTGTTTTCCAATGTGTATTACTTTGCATTTACCAACGTTGAATATCATCTGCCATTGTGTTGCCCAGTCTCACTTTTGTGAGATCCGTTCGTGACTCTTCGCAGTCAGTTTTGGACTATCTTGAGTAATTTTGTATCATCTGCAACTTTGTCACCTCACTGTTTACTCCTTTTTCCAGATCACTTACGAATCTTTTGAATGGCATTGGTCCCAGTACAGATCGTTGGGGGACTGTGCTATTTACCTCTCTCCACTGTGAAAACTGACCATTTATTCCTATCCTTTGTTTCCTATCTTTTCACCTATTGCTGATCCATGAGAGGACCTTCCTTCCTATTCTATTACTGCCTATTTTGCTCAAGAGCCTTTAGTGACGGACCTTGTCAAAGGCTTTCTAAAAGTCCAAAGTACACTGTATCACTGTGTCACCCTTATCCACATGTTTGTTGACCATCAAAGAATTCTAATAGATTAATGAAGTATGGTTTCCCTTTACAAAAGCCATGTTGACTCTTTCCCAAAATATCGTACTCATCTATGTATTTGATAATTCTGTTCTTTACTAGTTTCAACCAGTTTGCCTGGTATTGAAGTTAGGCTTACCAGCCTCTACTTGGCAGGATCACCTCTTTTAAAAAAATCAGTGTTAGATTGGTCATCTGATACTTAAGTGATATAGGGCCCTTTGTTTTCAGATTTTATCTTATTCAATATTTCCCAGGAATTTATCAGTTTATTACCACAACAACAACAAAAGGTGAAAATCAGTGCAAAAAACTATTAATGATTTTTCTGGGTAAATATTGGAGTTTATTTTGGTGGACGGAAAGACGAGAAAAAAGTATTCAGTAGGTTAATGCATTGAATACTGTTCATCAGTGTGGTTTGCTGCAGAACTAAAAGAGAACTCAACACAATGCCACCTCTGAGTTTGCATTTGAATAAACAGTTTACTGTTGTAGACATAGAACTTATAAATATTTACATTTAATAATTGGGGCACACCATTTGCAGCGCATGCACTCATCTTCATCCTTTTCTCTCTCTCTTTTTTTCTTTTTTTTTAACTTTTGAGTACTTCCTTGTGTTCTGAAACGTATTCTGATACTTCTCATTTTAGTGTGTCAAATCTTTAAACTATTATCTGCTAACAGCTTGAAATATGTACGGGGTGTGCGTGAGATTCATCAGTACGTTCAGATGTGCACGCTGAGCTTGCTTGTGTGCCTGTTTGTCTCTCTCTTCTAGACTAATATATAACCTTACTTCAACAACCAGCTTTGCATATACACACAGATTATTATCGTAATACATATATCTCATGCAATGTATTGTATTTTCCTAATAAAACAAGTTATTTTTTATATATTTGCATGATACAAAAATAGGGTGAAAATCAGAAAAAACTGAATAATACTTTCTGTAAAACCTAGGATTTGTTTTGGTAAAAATTGGTTTAAACTGAAAATGAAGGGGCTTAGTTACATGCCATAATGAGTAGTTCTGCAATTTCCTATATGAGTTCTTTCAGAAATCTTGGGTGAATGCCATCTGATCCCAGTGACTTATTACTGTTTAATTTATCAGTTTATTCCAAAACATCTTGTGTTGACACCTCAATCTGGAACAGTTCCTCAGAATTGTCATCTAAAAAAATAGCTCAGGTGTAGAGGAACCTCCGTCGCATCCTGTGCGGTGAAAACCAATGCAAAAATTTCATTTTGCATCTGATCAACAACTTTGTCTTCCTAGAGTGCCTTTTTAGCAACTTGATCGTCCAGTGGCCCCACTGATTGTTTGGCAGGCTTCCTGTTTGTGATGTACTTAAAAAATATTTGCTGTTAGGTTTTGTTTTCTTTTGCTAGTTGCTTTTCAAATTCTTTTTTGGTCTGCCTACTTAAACTCTCACAAGTCAAGTGTAAAAGTATATGTTCCTTTCTTTTGTCCTCAGTAGGATTTGACATCCAATTGTTAAAGGATGTCTTTTTGTCTCCAACTGCCTCTTTACACTGTTGTTTAGCTATGATGGCACTCTTTGGTCCTCTTATTGTTTTTATTTTATTTGGGGTAAGCAAATAGTTTGAGGCTCAATTATAGTGTTTGTTAAAAGTTTCCATGCATCTTCCAGGCAATTCACTCTTTGTGACTGTTCCCTTTAATTTTCATTTAAGTACCTTCCTCATTCTTGTGTAGTTCCCTTTTTTGAAGTTAAATCTCCTGGGCTGGGTTTCTTTGGTAATTCCCCTCCCCCCCCCCGAAAGAATGTTAAATTTAAGTACATTGTGGTCATTATTGCCAAGCGCTGCAGCTATATTCATCTCTTGGATCTGATCCTGTGCCCCACTAAATCAAGGACTAAATCAAGAATTGCCTGTCCCTTTGTGGGTTCCAGGACAAGCTACTCCAAGAAGCAGTCATTTATGGTGTCTAGAAATTTCATCTCTGCATCCCATCTTGAGGTGACAGATTCCCAGCGAATATGGGGATAGTTGAAATCCCCCATTATTATTGGGGTTTTTGGTTTTGTTGCCTCTCTAATCTCCATGAGCATTTTACAGTCACTGTCATCATCCTGGTCAGGTGACTGGTAGTATATTCCTACTGCTATATTCTTATTATTCAAGCATGGAATTTCTATCCATACTGATATTATGCTTTGGTTTGATTCATTTAAGATTTTTATTATATTTGACTTTATACTTTCTTTCACATATAGTGGCACTCCCCAACCAGCGTGGCCTATCGTTCCTGTATATTTTGTACCCTGGTATTACCGTGTCCCATTGCTTATCATCATTCCACCAACTTTCTGTGATGCATATTATATCGATATCCTCATTTAATACCAGGCACTCAAATTCACCCATCTTAGTATTTAGGCTTCTTGCATTTGTAAATAAGCACTTATAACTTTTGTCAATATATAGTTGTCTGCCTTAATGTGATATCGTTGAATGGGACTCTTTTTCATTGACTGTTTCTCTTCAGTTCTTATCTGTACTTTATCAACTTCTATCCTTTCCTAGTAAGGATATAAACTAGCCCCTTTAATAAATCGTCCCCTAAGGGATGTGTCTATCTGAACCATGTGCACCTCAACACCTGTCAGCTTTCCCTCAGCCCTCAGTTTAAA